ATTGGCAATATGGCTTAAATAGCTGCTACTTGCATCTCATAACTAAAAGGACCTTTTTTCTGAAATGCCAAGACCGTGGAGAAAATCTGAAGGGATTCTTAGAAAATCTTTGGAGCAGTCGGGCGTTAGACGCCGACTGTGGGGACGTCGTAGGCCCTTTGCGTGGATTGTGAAGACATTAAACTCACAGTTTTAGTGAAGGTCACGGACGCAGGCTGCCTCATAGAACGACAGTGCTACATCGTAATGACTACCAATGCGTGCCCTGAGATAGAGTATATTTAGTACAGTTTCTTCACGAATGACCAGAATAAACTGTCGGACATGGCATTGTATACACTTTGAAATTGGAATCCATCCCATAATTACAAAGGGTATCAAAACGAGGCTCACTCATTGAGATGATGCCTGTAAGATCAGGCCCCGATTTCTCGAGTTTTTACTCAAATTTCAAACTGAGTTTGACAATTTGAAACAGCTGAATATTTAACTCAAGTGCAATTTTTGAAATAAAAAAGCCCAAACAATCTATCCACCAAACTCAAATTGTTTACTATGTTTGAGTTTGATATCGATTTCAGTTCATTCTGGCAAATGCGTTTTCTCAAATTTGAGTAAAAACTCTAACTTAAGTCAAAACTCAGACTTAACTTTGTTTCGAGAAATCGGGGCCAGGTATGATACCCTTATCAGATATTTGTATATCGTATATTTCCGATCTTTTATAACCAGACCATATCTAAACATTGGAATTGAGTGCAATGGATTTCGTTTCAAGATGTTTTACTTTTGACTTAACCATGTGGTTGATTGCAACATAACGTAACATTGAATGCCATTTGCAAGAGCCTGAAGGCAGTCTAAGCGAACGTGTTAGAAGCGACACCTAGCGGCACTAACGTGCAGCAGACGGTTCGTGTGGCGGAGGACTCTAATGAAGGTAATGATGTCTGACACTGCATGTAAAACTCTATCGCCCACCCAGGTTAACAGCTAATTACCCAGCCTTCTAACACCTCGCTTATCACTCCGCCTAACAAAGTAGTCCAATTTTGCACAAATAGCACGACTTTCAATGCAAAATATGCTTGCTACTTGATATCATAAACGTTATGAATAGTATTAACTATTGCGCTGACAGAGAAGTTATCAATAACTTGAACAGTTTTGGTCATAATAGTCGGGGTGAGCATACTGGGA